TTTTTTTTTTTTTTTTTTTTTTTGACCCATGGTAGGTTAGCATGCCATCCAAACCCAACACACCAATCCCAATTTCTCCTCTTTGACAAAGTTATCCTCTTGCCTTTAAGTGACGGTTCCCTGTGCATTCCACATTTTAGTCTCCAGCTAACTCCAGCAAAGAGATGCATTTACTCCTGCCCCCACCACTTTTTGTGGCTGTTTTTCAGAATAGTAGTGTTCATTTATTTCCCTGCCATTAAATGTGTGTATATTTCTGCAGTTTTTGTAGTAACTGCAGCATTAAGTGTTTTGAAAAGGGGGTAGGTAGCCAATATCTCTACTTTTTGGAGTAACCAGGAACTCAGGGTGCCGAAATGATAGAGGACACTAACAGCTATCAGTTCAATACTTAAAAGTGAGAGGATTACAAAGGTGTGTACTTTTCTTTGCTACTTTTTCCTCTTTACTGATGCTTTTCCATTGAAAATATTGCAACTGTTTTCAGCTCTGCAGAAATTAGCCTATATGTCTTCTCACTTGCAATCTGTTACCTACTTCACTTGTCATACTCTCTTTGATAGACGAACCAGGGTGCACTTACAAAAGACAAACAAAAGTAATCATAATAATGAAAACTTATAAATATATTGAGAAGTTTTCAGAGTCCAAATTCTTTTTTTATTTTTATTTTAAAGACTATAACTTCAGTTGTGTGTATGTGGGGGCTTCAGGGAAAAAATAGGAAATGAAAAGGGGTAGTAATTGGATTGGGAAGGGTGAAACAAACATACTTTGCTATGAAGAGCACTGGGATACATGCTGGAGCCCACTGGAGGACTTGGTTGGGAGGGGAAGAAAAACTCACTGTAAGCCTAATTGTCAGTAAGCAACCAACTTGCCATGGCTTATTCATAGGTGGATTAGTGTGACATTCAGACTTTTCCAATAACAGATGAGGGAGTTTAGACTTAATGCCAAAACAAATATTTAAAAGTGTGCAAAGGACCCTTTGTATCTTCTTGTATTACACTTTATACTTTCCTGAGTTGATCCTCGCATTATAAACAAGTTTGAATGCAAAACCCGATGAGGTGGTGGTTGCAAGCAGTATGTCAGCCCCTCTGCCCAGAGAGAAAGAACTCCCCCACAGAACACAGCGCTTTGTTAAGTATTTGAATACTGAGTTACATGCTTGGCTTAAATAGGATCTCACTTACTGACATGTCAACTACTTAATGGTATGCTTTCGATGTCTCTTGATTTTTTAAAAATCATATTTGATTTACTCTGTTATTAAGGCCTCCTGGAATTGGATTTTGGAACAGACCTCCTAATATGTATAGCCGTAGAAATATGGCTCTATGGAGGACATACTATATAGACTTTTCGGGGGTTGTATGGGGCCTCTTGGTGTCCAGAATCGATAGTGGTCAAGGATAACCATTTATGTAGGTGGTGATTTAGGGGAATTCTATGCTCATTTTCCAATTTGAGAGACAATGTTTCTATATTCACCTGCATGATTTGGTATGATGGTAGTTCTGCATATTATCAAATGAATTGGTATTATTGGAGTGTAGTATCAGAGCAAAAATGTATATGTAATTGATGTTCATAATTTTTCCCTTGTGTAATCCCCTTTCTTAGAAAATAAATCTAAAGGTCTTCAGTGGGTGATAGATACCACCATTGCTTATCCCAAAGCTGAACCCATAGATATCCAGACCTGGATTCTTGGCTACAGGCGACCAACAATTACCCATGTCCATTACAGGTAGGAAATATATATTTTTACTTCAGAAATTTTATAATTAAGACCTGTAAAAATGGTCCTTGCAATATTGGTAAGAATGCAGCAGACTTGAAATAAAATCTTTAGGCTTCTGTATACTTAGAAATTACTTAAGGAGTCCTGGACAAGATGCCTTCTGGGAGCCCATACACACTCCCGGGCATCCACACTGTTTTCTCCCCATGATTTTTCTCTCTCTACCCAGCCACATGATGCCTCTCTCTTAACTTATTCTCCCTACTCCCCACATCAAGTGGCACATTTTCTTTTTTGCTTTAACTTTTAGAAGGATTTAGGTAAGTTGCAGATTGAAACTGCTGTCACATTCAGTATTTTCCTTTGTAGTCAAGCTGAAACTGGCTAATCTCAAGGCAGAGTTTGGGTACAGCTATTACCATAGGCTGTGTCTGTCATAAATTGTAGGGACAACAAAGTTCATGAGCAAAGATGAGATAATATTGATAAGACAATGTTTTATTCTTGTGACCATAAAACTTCAATTTTCAGCAAGTACTATAGGAAATTTAAAAGAGTTTTTTCTTTACTGAGCTCTTTTCAAACAAGCTCCATATTGGTTAAAATTGGTCACAAATATAAGCGTAATCTTATGCATGTCTAGTAAGAAATAAGACTAATAGAGCTTTTTCCCAGATAAGGATATAGAGTGGCAACCTAAATCTTAGGGAGATTAGAAACTGTATGGTTTACTGCATATTTACTCAGAAGTAAGTCCCATAATGCTCTGTGAGACTTACTTCCTCATAGATTTATATAGATTTGTAGCCTAAGCTGGTCTAGTATTTAGAGAAATTGTTCTAGTTTTTAAAATGTTTTAAATTATGTATGCCAGAATTTTATAATGTATCTGTTGTATTCATATATGGTTATTATATGCATATGTTATTATTTGCTATTTATTATATTATTGAATTCAGCAATGTGTGAGAAATCCAGTTTGGGGATGGGAAGCTATTAGTTTTTCTTAGTTTGGTTCTTTGGACTCCAGCCTGCTTTCTCTCCACCCTAAGTCTGCTTTGCACTGAATATTTAAATGGATGCCTGGCAGAAAGCAAGTGGAGTGCTGCTTTTGTATAGGTTACCCAACAAGTTGCTCATTTTGCACAAAGAATCCACTAGTGTACCAGAGTTTGCAGACTTGACTTGCCTCCAGGCCAGGGCAAGATGAGGGAAAAAGGTTCAGCAAGTGCAAGAGAGTCAGATTCTGGCTTGATCTTCAGATTCCTACTTGGACTTGTTCTAGATTTCACTGGGTGGTATAGAAATAACATCTTCATCATCACCACCACTAATAATAATAATTTCAGTAGGAATTTTTGCCCAGTTTCTACATTATTTTTACAGTTTGGTAACCATTGGAAGAAAACAATGTGGCCATGTGTTACACTTCAGCAGCAATGTATGAAAAGGTTGTGGAGAGAGCAATCCTATGGCCCCAGGCAAGTTTCCCAAGGACCATAGGATTGCTCAGATCGCCTGAGGTCAAAGACAAAATTTTGACCTCAGAAAGGGGGAGTCAGAGATCTGCCCCTTTGTAGCTGGTTCAGAGAAAATCAGGGCTGCCATCTCTCCAATGTCAGAAAACCAACTTCTAGATAGAAGGAGACAGGAGAAGCTAGTATATAATTTGTTACGCACCTCCTCCAGCCTTCATTTCTGTCTGAAGTGACCTTGCTAGATAGGCCGAACAGCTCATCTACTGAATCAAGCAAAGATCAGAGGACTGGTAGGCAAAGACTAGTTTTGTTGTTCTCCTACATTATTCCACAACTTGGTGCCCTACCAGCTTTTTCGACTTTACTCCCACGAGCCCCAGCCAAATGGTCAGTAGTCAGGAATGCTGGAAGTTGTAGGCTAACAGGGAAGTGCCAGGTTGGGGAAGGCTGCCTAACAACTAGTGGATTACTTTGAATGTGGGCTAGAGAATGGTGGATTGTGTCTGCCTCTCGAGCAATCTGTTGCCAGGTGGACTAATAATCCCCCTCTTTGCTGAGCTGACTGAAGTAGCTTATGGATAAATATATGTGCAAGAGAAGAAGGGTCACCCTTTGTATTGTTTTCTACTGATTTTTCCTTTAGATCTTAATCTTAAAAAAAATGAGAACGTGCAGAGGGAGATGGAGGAACAGAGAATTTTTTTGCGGGGGGGTGGAGGTATTTAAAATCCTGCCTTTTCACTATGATCCCTAATGCAACTTACAACATAAACAGTTGAGCAATGAGTTGGCTAACATGTGACACTGATTCATGGTTTAGTTTTACATGAGTGAACGACCATAAGCTAGAGCAAAGCTTTGTCCCTTATCCTCTTCTCTTGCATGTCTAGACATTACTTTCCTGTCTTGCCATTTGGTATGAACCAGAGTGCAGTTTATTACAAACCAGGCTAGCTAAATAAGATTGCTTCAAATAAGTTTGAAGTTGACTTGTTCACAAACTGAACAGATTTTCTGATAAACAATGATACATAGTGACAAACCCAGATTCTTTGAAAATGAAACCAAATACTAGTGAAATTCCAGCCATACAGGAGGTGGGGGCAGTGTTGAGTTCAAGGCTTTGGTCAGACTCATTCTCCCTCATGCATAAAACATACTTCCCTCATACAGATCTTTGGTATGACCATACTTAACATATTGTATTCAGCTCTGGTCACCTTATCTGACAAAGGACATTATCAAGTTTGAAAAAGTACAGAGGACAACCAAAATGATCAAGGGGCTGGAACATTGAAGCATATGAGCAGTTGTAGCAATTGAGGAGCGGCTTCAACAACTGGAACTGTTCAGCTTAGAAAAAGGTCAAGTAAGGGGAGACATGATAGAAGTGTTTAAAGGAATGCGAGGCATTTTTCTCCCTCTTCCATACCGCTCAAGCTTGGGGTCATCCCATGCAGCTGATTGGTGGGAGGTTTAGGACAGATGAAAGGAAGTACTTCTTCACACAGCATGTAATTAAACTATGGAACTTACTGCCATGGAAGTGGTGATTTCTGTCAGTTTGGATAACTTTAAATAGGAATTGGACATGTTAATGAGGGAGGAGGCTCTCAGTGGCTACCAGTCTTGCTGACTATACACTGCCTCCTTTACCAGACAGAGGTGGCATGCCTGCATACATGCTCCTGCAGTTGCTGAGGAGCTTGGTCTTGCACCCATCCTCCTTGAGGGATCCTGTGGGCAGCTCCTTTGCCACTGTGTATTCGGAGTGCTGCTAGTGGGCCCTCAGTCTGATGCAACATGGCTTTGCATATGTTCTTATGCAGACTAAATAAGATCTGCTTTGACAATATAAAAATCAAGAGTACAACACAATTCCATCTGTTTTTGGAAGGATTGTTTTAACTTGGACTGAGAGAGTAACAGAGTTGATGATACTCAAATATTTGGTCTAAAGGCCTCCAATTACATTTCTTAACATAAAACAATAACATTAGACCTATAGTAAACAAAGGGAAGATAGCATGGACAGAAATGTTCTTGCATTGTCTATAGATGTAGAGGTATTATTATTCTAGTATAAGAAACCATTAGTAAAATAAGAATGTTGGAAGGATTGAGTATGAAGTCCAACAAAACTTGTTTGGAACTGTGGTGTTAGGTTATTTATGTAACCAGTTTAGAAATATATGTACCACTTTTCTTTAAAAAAGAGTAAACTTGAGATTATTCTTAGGATTCAATCCAAACATATCTTTCCAGGGTCACTCTCTATTAAAAATGGTTCTGCAACTTTGCAGTAGATACTGGCTGATGCCAGTAGTGCCAGCAGTAACTCTATTATTCTTCCCTCCCTTATCCATCATGCAGTTTGTTATTTTTTTCTTGTTTTCCCTTTTGTTAAGGTGACAGCTCAGAAATAAGCATATACACAGCACATTTAAACATGAAAAAGCAGACTGTTCACCTGAAGCAGTGTGTGGGGTGGAGTTAGAGAGGGGTATGACCAGTGACTTGAGTCTGAGATTCATTCATTGGCATGTAGCTTTGTTACTTCACTTGCGATGCAGGAGGAAGCTGGATTCACCCCTGAGGTATGAATGACAAGTCAGTGGGGAACATGTCAGAATGAGTAGGAGCGTTTGTAGTAGAACTGATGCTTAGCACTTCTGGGAGGTATCTTATTCAGATACTGGAGGGTATCCTCTTTGAGAAGCTGTGTTGCATAAAACAGTGCCTGCAGCCATCGTTTATTGTTACATGAAAACTTTTTCAGCATAATAGTTTTTGGAGCACATAAAAACCCTTAAAAGATAGTGAGCAAATAACAGCATGAGAAGGACAAATGAAAGGTGTGGTGGCAAACAGAATCAGATTTTTTAAAGTTTTTGTTTGAGACTCCCTTTGAAGACTAATCTCAACTAGTCATTGCATGCATTTAACCACAAGGACAGTGCATAGCAGCTTTACATAAGAGAAGCCAAAAGGCACATACATTAGAAGATTTACTAATGAGAGTGGAGAGCAGCTACTTTCTTGACCTTTCAATATCTTACAGGCATTTTGAGGAGAAAACATCATTGCAAGATCCTTTAAAAAGAGGCAGCGGTTATAGAAATAGAAATTGGTTGGTGAAATGAGTAAATAAATTCTTGGTGGTTGAAGTGAGTGGGAAATTTGCATTTATTAACTTAGCTTTTTGTAATTTGGTAACAGAGTTCTATTACCCTAACTAGCCATTCTGTCATAATAACATGTACAAAAGACTTGCTGTTTTGCTGTTATTTGTGGGAAGAGGAGTTTGGGTTTTTAAGTATTTTGGAAACATGAAGTAAATGATTCTGTGCTTTGTGGCTTGAAGTTATCCAGACACAGAGTTCAGTACCTTGGTGGCAAACAAAGGGCTTGGATTGATGCAGATTTTATCCAAGTCTGCCATGTTTTGATTTCCCATAAAAGTCAGAAAGAAGCTCAAACCCTCAGACATTCACGTCTCAACTCCAGGTTCTATACCCAGTGCTTAACAGGAATAAAAGAATGAATGAGGTAATATGATCACATGTGAACAACTAAAAGGCAATGTGCAACTATTCATCTTTCCTCCTTAACTGATCAGGATGTTCTTGAAAGAGGAAAGGCAGAAGAAGTGGTGCAAACATACAGGACACATGGAAGATAAAACCTAAAAAGGCTAACCCCTTTTTATTTTCTCAGTATTTTAATTGTTGAAACTATATTTTTGTGGCACTGTGGATTATTTTTATTATTATTTACTTATCATTATTATTGGTTTAATATTCTGTTCTTTACTGTTATTTGGTTATATATTTTGTTTTTGGTTATATATTTTGTTTTTATTATCATGATTGAAATTGTTCTTGGTTTTACCTTATTGTGAGGTTGGGTTTTATTTTATATTTTAAATGTTTGTGAACAATCCAGAGAGCCAACTGGCTATAGGCACGGTATAGAAATGTTTTCAATAATTAAGTAATTAATTAATTAATTAATTAATTAATTAGGATGCCTTCTCCTGCTTAAATTTCTGCCCATGAAGCAGGTTGATCACATGATGAGAGCCTCATGTGGAAGTATCCACAGATCTGTGCATCAGAATGATCCTGTTGTTAATTGGGTTTTGTCTTGAATATAGAAAATTGAGCTAGAAAAACTGCAGAGGCACAGTTAGATCAGATTCCTTAGAATTTGAAATATTCCTTCCCAGATCTCAGGTTATTGATTTTGATGCTTTACTTTTTGTCCTCTTAGAAAAGATTGCTAAGTCTTGCAAAGTGTACTGGGGCTCAGGAAGAACAAAATAAAATCTTAGCAAAAAAACAAACAAAGAAACAAACCACCAGGGAGTCAAGTTGGTTCATTTTTTCCAAGATAAATATGTTTTGTCCAGTTATGAATTAATGTTTAGTTTGATTTCAGTCTTGAATTGAAAACCAGAATAAACTATTTTTCTTGAACTGGATTGGAACCCTAACCATTATTTGAAAATCTAATCTGAACCAATTTGAATCCTTCCTGGCAGCATGGCATAATTAAGGTATTCAGAAGTAAACTCCAAAAATTGATGACTTTTTAAATGTGCTGGAGGATACTATGAACAGTTTTTCTGCAAAACAATGCATAAGTACTGGACTATGCAAAACAGAAGCCCACTAGATTTACTTTAAGAAGGGAAAATGATTTTATAAGGCTAATTAATTTTTGTTTCATTATAATGCAGGATTTTTTCAATTAAAGATGTACCTATTGAGGCTGAAGCCCTCACTGCTTGGTTATATCAACGGTTCATTGAAAAAGAGGATCTCTTGTCACACTTCTACAAAACAGGTAACAAAATTCAGATTAAATGGTGAACCGTTGTTCAGCACTTCTAAAGTATGCTCTTATTTAAATAGTAACAGCTTTGCTTTACAATTGTACGTTATCCCATATCACCATAATTTGCTATTTACTGTGTAATCATGTACCCGTGAAAAATTCAGTGGGACTTACTTCTCAGTATATGAATAGAGAACTGCAGCCTGAAAGTTCTTTTAACCTTTCTCTTCCTGAAAGTGTGAAAGAAATGCAACATTAGATGTATTTGAATTTGCTCTTTAAAATCAATTGATGGTCATGTAGGATTGTGGATTCACAATAGTAGTCCAGCCTCCTTGCACTTTTGCAAAAGGCTAAGTTTAGTTGGTTATTTTAAGAGATCATATGCTTTTAGTAATTCTTTTTAAAAACCAACAAGGATCACTGGGTTTGACAAGACTTTTTCCTTCCACTTTGTTAGTCTCCCTGAAAATATGTGTGTGGAGGGGAGGAGGAGAATGATTGATTTTGGGACTGGGAGAAATCATTCTCCCATGACTTTGTTTCCTGGTTTCTCCTGTTGAAACCTGTTGCTGTATGAAGCAATTTCATCCTTCTTTACATAAACGTATACCAGCACATTTAAATACTATACTGACATTGCTGAAAACTGTTATGTAATTTGCACTAAATAATTTAAAAAGGTGTTTCAGGTTGCCCTAAAAGAGATAAAGCACTCTTGAGCAAGTAATGGTACTACATGTTCACTGGGACAAAGAGGATCAGTGGGGGACAGAAGTGCCCCTTCGGGACCTGGCCCCCTTTACATCAAAGGATTCATTAGCACTGATGTTGAAATTAATCAGATGATCAGCTTCTAGGATTTGTTAACCAATTTCAGATCTTGGTAAAGTAAGGAATTTGTAGGAAAGTCATTAGAATTTGCTTCAGGGAGGGGAGGGCTTGTAGGAATGTGGCATGCAACTGGTTTCTCATTATTCATCACAAAGACAGAGCTGGTGTTGACTTGTGCTCTGTATTCTTGCTATAGCTATGATCAGGGAAGACTGGCAAGTGTGCAGTTCTCAACTCAGTTTGTAATGGACTCCATATTCAATGTGTAATTAAATGTTCCTTCTCTTTCAGGAGCATTCCCTCCCCTGCAGGGACAGACAGAAGTTGTTTCCCGGGAGATGACCCTTAGCAGTTTGTGGCTAGTTCTTGTACAGTTCTTTGCATTTTTGTCAGGTGGTATGTGGTACTGCATTCTTCAGTATTTTTATCAAAGCCTATTTTAAAAGGTGAATGAATAAGACCCAAGTATACAATTAGGAACTTGGTACATCATGTTAAATGTGCAAATGTGAATATACCAGGAGAAAGGAAAAACTGGACTTTCTTCCCTTTGTGGGGGAGGGGGATTTTAAACTCAATTACAAGAGAGGATTGGTAATATAGTGACCTAATGATGTGTTTTAAGAACTGTCCATATTTTTAAAGGTGTGGTTCCCCACACATCTACGTCAGCAAATTCAGCATTTGAACAGGAGACACAAGTATACAGCCACCACAGGTGAACATCTGCAGCAAAAATGCTTTTACTGCAGGTAGTATTCAGCATTATAGTTACAACTGGGATTCTTCAGCAACTTTCTCTTCAGTAGTCTGTACTGCAAGTCTTGTGGTAGAGATCCCTCATCTGAACAAACTTGAGTTGTATTGTAATTAATCATGCTGGATCTGTTTAACATATTCTCAGACCTGGTTATGGTATTGTGACTGCCCCGTGTTACCTGTTTAGTAGAGACATCTATCTTTTGGGGGGGGGGGAATATCTCTGAGATTTTCTATTGGAAAAAGGAGAACTAGCAAAGAGGCATTACAGTGTCATGAAGTATTGAAAGAATTCTGCATACCTCATAGACCCTTCCGTTCTTACCATGTTTTCTGTCTTTAAACCTCTTGTGAGTATCCTTTTGGAAGGCTACTTCAGTAAAGTGGTACATTACTTAACTGCTTCCTATTTTGGTTTTATAATACATTTCAGAAATTGATACATGTCTCTACCCCACCTACCCCTTTTAGCAGAATGCACTTTTGAAAATGCAATGCAGTGATGGAAAGGAGCATAGCTTGAAAGAAATGTAGATGCTGTTCCTAACAGATTGGATTCTTGAGAGCTATTAGCAGTTCAGAGTGGTCTGTGGATTTTCAACACTAAAGTGTATGAATTGCCGCAGTCTAGCCAAAGTGGTGTGTTTTGCTTTTTAACCCTTATAGAGGCCTTTATTTCCATCTGACCATGAGAAGGTTTGTGTACATACATGCCAAGCACCTCAATGCTTTGCTTATAGGAAAAAATAAGAGAAAGTTAGCATAGTCACAAAACAGTTATATCTAGTCATTGGATAAAAGTATGAAAATAATTGCTTTACCATCCTGAGCTACTGTAAAAATTCTCTTAACAGTGAAGTGAAGGGCATTCCTATATCTGCCATCTTGCTGAAAATTGTCGCTTTCATAAAAAGGGAATTTAAGAGGCAGATTGGCACTAAAGCAGGGTTTCAGATAATAACATTACAGTTTTATAATGATTTTGAAGGAAACTTTTCTATGTTTGTCATTTATCATTTTGTGGAATGTTTGGCATCATGTTAGTATGATGACATAAATCTATATCAAAGACCCATTCTTAGAAAAAGTTTCTAACTTATATGTACAGGCCTGTAGACCAAACTTTAATGACAGAATGTTGCCTTTTTATGGACTGTATTTTTTTTCTAAGAGCAAAGCCAAGCCAACAATAGTTGTCTGTGCTGAGTTTGAGGTATATACTCTCCTGTTCTCTTATGTAGTTTTACTCCTCCCCCCAAATCACACCAGGACCAGTTTTGGTGAGTAGTATACAAAATAAAAATGTAAAACCACAGTATCATATTTTATTCTTTTGTCTGGACTGGGGAAGAGGGACAAGATGAGTATTCCCTAGCAATGTACAAAATTGTCACCTAATTAAATATGCCAAACATTGGGTGGTACCCAATTCACTTCTCCCACTGACAGAATGGCTTCCATCAATGGACCAGAGAGGGAGCTGATTCCCCTTTCCTCCTGCAGCCCTCAGCATGCCTCAAAATCTGTTCTGCCATGTTGGCAGACCGTCAAGAGCAGAATAAGCAGTGGACTGCAGCAATGCGGACATCCCATTTTGCAAGCAGAAGTCTGCTCACATGGTGTTGGAATTTGCCATTGTCGTTACACTACAAAATGCATTTCAGGATGGATGATGGAACTGTCCACTATTTATTTGAGAAAATGCAGTGGTGCATTTCACTGGTGTGACACCATCATGAATACAGTGTTGTTCAGCTTTTAGTATAAAATGTAGGTGTTTAAACCTAGGCTTTTGACACATAGGTAGTTGAATTCCAACATATGTATAGCATATATTTAAGTTATTTGCTGCAAAAGAAAGTGGCTTGGAAAGTCAGGTTTCTTTTCTTTTTTCAACCCTGCTTGCCTTACTGAGCTATAGCTGTAGCTATTGCCATATAGCAGGAAGTTGTAAAGGAGCTCATTTCTGGTCATTTGCTGCATGTGGCTATAAAGCAGAGCTCTGGTCTAAACAAATACTTTGGCTAAGATGCAAAGCAACTGCTGCTATGGTATAGTTATTTGGACGTAGTCCTGCTTTTGGAAAAACATGGTTGTTCTAATAAGGAAAACTTGGGTATAAATATAGCTAATAGAAACTAGATATGCACATTATGGGGTGGTTGATAAAAATTAGTCACATGCAAGAATATAGATTCTGTCCCTTGCAGTGTCCAGGATGATACTGTAAATATATATTTGCTACTTAATGAATCAGTAATGGATTGCCACTTTGTTCAGCGTAATATGACCAAATTTCAGTTTATTTCTCCTTGCCTGTATATGGGAAAATGTGAAGAAGATGAGGTCACTTGTGTCTCCTGTATGGTTGAACCAGGAGAAAATGTGAAGAGATGTTTTAAGGAACTCCTAAATAAAAGCACCTTTCTATTCTCAGCTTGGACTATGATCTTCAACCTTCCTATTTATAATAGCCCAATTGAATTCAGTAGGCCATAATTGAAAGTATATTTTTAGGAATACAAAAAATGGAATTAAGGTTGTGTGTGTGTGTGTGAAAGAAAAAGAGAGAGTGTGGCTGCAATTATGCAATAGGCTGGTCTAGGCTTTTCTGAGCATAATGTTTAAAAACACCCAGAATTCCTGTGAGTTAATACTAGTTTGGTTCATTGTTAATAATTAGTAACTTTGTTCAGCCCCCCAGACCCCATTTAAAATAGCACTTCATGGTAAGATGATCTTCTGTTTTCTCACAACCATCCTCATTGTAAAGGTTTGAGGAGAGGGGAAAGAGCTAATACATCTTGAAATGAAATGAATTTCATGCTTGGCATTGCCTAATGTCACATGGCGGATGTTGTCATTTATTACATTATAAACTCTACATACATATTTGCATTTTTACTGGAAAACAAACTTTATTCTAGGTGTACAATGAAAGAAATAGGGAGGGGGTGGGAAGAGCCCACACTTGATTCCCATGATGTCACAGGATTTGAAGGCTAGAAAGGAGTTCTAATACATGTTAAATTACCTGTGTTGAATTACATGCAACTTCAGCCTGTGCCACAGCCCATTACTTCACATCATTATATGGACGTTAGCAGCTCCATATGTTTAATTTGCATGGGATTGTTACACAAAACCCATACAAGGGTCATTCATATTTTAACACTCACCAGTGATCTTTGGATACCTGAAGGGTTGTCATGCAGGAGATGGAACAAACTGTTCTCTATTGCACTGGAGGGCAGGGCTAGAACTAGTGGGTGGAAATTGCAGGGAAATAGATTTCAGTTCAACATCTAAGAGAAACCTAGTGGAAAGATCTGTTTGACAGTGGAACAGACTGCCTTGGTGGGCTCTCCTTCACCA